AATATTTTTCTAGCCTGCAGACCGCTGGTCTTCCGTCGGCCTACTTTCCAAGTCACTGCAGGCTATCACATTTTCTTGTCCTGACCACCATATTTCCGTCAGTCTTGACATCAGGGGATAACAAAACATTATGTCATGACATTTTATATAATTTTGGAATCTAGAATATAAATGAATTTTCAAAATTAAATGGGCTATAATATTTTAGTATTAATATTAATAATAATATTTTAGTATTTTTATCATCATAAATCTTTCATCAAAATCGTCAATTTTTTTAATAAGTAATTACATAGAAACGACCTGGCCGATCTTTGCCAAAAACTAATTTGCATGATTCTCAACTTTTGAAATTTCAGAACTTGGGCAAAACTAATCGATGCGAGACCATATCGAGCTACGTCGAATGGATTTTAATTTTTTGAAACACACATACATACGATTCAGGATGATTGGAAACGTCAAAAAACATAAAAATAGCAAATCGGATTTTTTGACGAAAACAAACTTTTTCAGGAATTATATATATATATATATATATATATATATAATTAATTATATATAATTATAGTTTGCCATATAGTTAAAATTTTAATGTAAATGTAATACAATTATATTTAACTAACTGATTTCTTAATCACACGCGCACCGTTTCCGCTAAAACTAACATATCGAATATTGATTTTGATTTTATGTTTCCTGTAGGGTAAGTTAAGGGTATAAGTCCAAAAATCGATTTTTTTTAATTTATACGTTTCTGAACATTTTTGCATACCTTAGAAAATTTGTATGAGTGTGTGTTTAGTAGGTGTGTATTATGTATGTGTATATGTATATGTATGGGTACAATTTTTCGTCAACATTTTCGGGACCCGCTCAACCGATTTGAAATATTCAAACATTTATATTGATAAGGAGTCGTGCTGATTAGTTTTTGGAAAAAGTTGGTGCAGCCCTTTCGAAGATACGGAGCAAAAAGTACCAATAATTAAATTTGTGAGAGAAAGGAGCATCCGATTTGAATGATTCAAAAAACATACCACTTGTATTGACGTTATGAAGAATTAATAAAGCAAAGGCAGATTTAGCGGTTTCGGTTATCCAGAAAAAAAGTTTTAAAAAATGTCTAAAAAATTATTTTGTAATTTGAATCAACCGATATGAATAGGTATCAAAAATTTTCAAAAAAAAAAATAAATTAGTCTTTATAAAATGTCCCAAGTTTCCAAAAAATGTATAAGTTTTCAAAAAGTATCAGTATTTTCAAAAAAGACATTTTTTCAATATTCAGATTTGTCAAAATTTTCAAAAATTCAAAATTATCAAAAAAAATCTAACTTTTTATTTCTGAGCTTTTAAAAGTTTTAAATTACGGTACCGAAAGTTCTAGCAATTTGCCTGAAGATACCGTGCCATGCACCACTGGTCCACTTTTTTTTATCGGATTAACACTTACGGGACGGCACCGATTTCAAAACAATCTACTGTACCGGCTGTAAACTTGATTTCATTGTGTATGTTATGCAATTTGTTTGATAAAAATTTGAAAGACATACATTTATAATATTAATTTATTTTTGATCATTTTATAAAGAATGGTGACGTTCAAAACAATTTCCAAAATGCATAGCTGATTGATTTTGACATGTTTTACAATAAAATTTTGTTTGCCGCCTTCCTCCTGCTGCTTTTCTATCAGAACAGTCAATACAATCCTTTTTTCTTTCTCTCGCATTTAGAATATGCCACTGATTAGTCAGTATATTTGTTCATTTTTGTGCTGCCATAATGGTTTGTTTTTTCTATTTTTATATTGTCAAATAATTCATTTGTAAAATGTAAAGTAAATTGGATGTCTTATATTGCTTGGTATGTGTAGTCTGGGTGTTTATTGATGTATGTCAAACTCGATTATTGAAGGAGAATCGGCATATTTGCTAAAGTCCTTCCGCTATTCATTTAATTTGTCGAACTTGTTCTTCTTTTTGTTCGTTGGATAATATCATCATTACATTCATCACTATCTTCGGTGCGAATAGTAATTTCGTAAAATTTGTCTGTATGAATGTCTATTTGAAACTCATCTTCACTACTGCTTAATTCACAAAATTTACCAGTCGTTTTACCATATTTAAAAGCGCTCGGTCGTTTTTAATATTTAAAAAAGACTGTATGGCAAAGAAAAGGGATAAAAATACTACTAAAATAACTTAAAATTATTTTCAAAATACATCACTGTTATATGTCACTGCTATATGTTATTTATTCAACTTTTCGATAATAATGATGGCAATGAAAATGATCGGAGCAACATCAAGAATAGCAAAAAACTCAATGAATATTTATAAATTTAAACATTAGAAGATCAACATAATTAATAAAATAAAATAAAATAATCAACATTTTGATTGTTTTATGAAAAGTGACTATTACTATTAGTAATATTAATCATAATGTTAATAAGGTCGTACGTGTCGGATCTTTAAATTGTCGCGAATTTGCATACACCGCGATTATTAGATAACTACTATATTAATGTTAAGGCCATCTGCTAATAACATAATATGATATTTGTCATGTATGCGAGATATATGACCATAAATAGTCGACGATTACCCTTATAGGATCCTTTTAGAAGAAATTCGCATGAGTCTGACATTGGAGAAAGTGTGTGTATGCATATGAGGAGGGTGGTGCAAAAGGCAAAATTTGGCCAAACGTCGACGTTTTCTCGCAAACGCCTGCACAGTATACGATTTCAAAAATTGTAAATATCATTAAAAATTTAAAGTTATTTGATAAAACTCGATAACTCGCTTTTATTAGTTTTTGGAGAGGATCAGCCAAGCCGCTGTAATTGGTTTAAAAGTGCAAAATTTTTTTTGTGCCAAAAATCCTCAACTGAATTATAACCATTCTATAATTATCAATTGGGGATTGTGCTTTTTTACTATTTTGACTAAACTTTTTTATGACAGAGTTCATGGTCTTAACAGGCATCATATAATATAATAGATTTACGCAAAATCGTTTAATTATAAAAATTGATTCATCAAAATTTGGAGGTGTCAAAATTTCAAAATTATCTCAAAACAATTAAATTTTTTTTCTGAAACTCAGTCATTAAGTAGTGATGTTTTATCAACTTGCCTTGATGCATTTAGTTTTTATGTAATATTCTGAAATGTATTTTTTATTATTAAATAATATTTCGTAGGCGAATAATATTTTAGAATGTTCCTGTGGGCCATAAACCTCATTACTTTTATTTTTTATATTTTCAAAATAGATTCAGGATTTTTAACGAATACGTTGACGAAAAATTTGCACTTATCTGCTAATAACAAGAAAACGGCTTGGACGATCACGTGAAACTAACCAAAGCGATTCTATATCAAGTTTCATTGTGTGGCTTTTAAATTTTTGAAATTGATGTAGCAGATTTTGAGAAAACTTTGACGAAAGGTTAACTTTTGGCGCACATACATACAAACATACTTTTTCGAATTTTGTTCTCAAACGATTTAGATTCAGAATGACTTGATACGAAGAGAAAAAAAAGTATCAAACCAGAATTTTTTGTCGAACAACTTTGGGAATGTAACAAAAATTTACGTAATATGTCGATATTTTTAACTTCCCGAAGGAGAAGTTTGTTATTGCGACAAAATCCGATTTGCTAATTTTATGTTTACTCTACGTTTCAAGCCATTCTGAATCGAATGAAATCGAATTTGGAAAAAGTATATGTGTGTGTATGTATGTATGGATACATAAATATATGCATGTGAGCCGATTTTCGACCTTTCTTCTACCTAATCTCAAGTGGAAATCGCTTCTAAATTAAAATATACACACCAAAGCTGTTAGATTTACATATTTAACAAACTAGTGGGGTGCAAATTGGTGGAATTTCCCGTACCGTAATTAAAAATCTTGGTTTGGAACCCAAAAAAAAAACACAAAATGTGTACACATTATGAAAATCTTTATGAAATATCTGATAATTTGATGTGCATAAGTCCAATAAACCGCCAATTGACATTTTTTTAACTTATTTTTATTGAGAGTCCATAACCGCTGAACCGCCTTCCCAAAAATTAATCAGTTTTTCATCTTGTCAATACAATCTTCAATCTTCAATACATCTTGTTTTTGGCACTTTTTGCCCCGTATCTTCTCAATGGCTAAACCTGCCTTCGCCAAAAACTAATACGTATCGAATGTTTTTTGAATTATTCAAATCGGTTGACCCGTGTTCCCGAAATTGTTGACGAAAATTTGTATCGGCACACACACACACACACCGCACACACACGCACACATACATCCATTTTTTTCTAGGGAATGCCAAAATGTTCAGAAACCTTTAAAGCATAAAGATATATAAAAATTTTCATTTTCGATTTTCTTGCGATTACTATAACTTGCACTACGAGAAGTTAAAAAAAAGTGAGTGTGGTTTACCGCTGCGTTGCCCTTTGATGCCTAATAGAACATGTATGCATTTCTGAGAAATATATAATACTTTGTTAAATACCAAATGCCATTTTCTATAGATTTGCGACAAATACAATAAACTGATTTAATTATATTATGTACTGCGCAAAGTTCAAGAATGTAAACAACAGATTATAATATCTCGTGGTTAAAATTAGCATTTGTTATTATTGCATCTGATCGCAAATGATTTAATTGCGAAACCTTTTAATAAAAATTATTGAACTAAAACAGTGAGCATCATTAATAAAATAGTTATATAATCAACGTTATTCATATGACCTTACCGACTGTCGCAAGAATATTAAATTCAACGTTGAACATCTGAGGAAATTATTATAGATACTTAAAACATTCCGCACTATTTCGCATTGAGTTCAAACACTCAAGATTATCTGTGATATGCTGTTCTGTCCCTGTGGGAGACCGAAGCTGTTGCAAAAATTTTGTATCAAGTTTCCTTTAAATCGAAAATAACAAAGAGATATATAATTTGAAAAATGGTGAATTGGACGGCGGTTATTGTGATCTTTACTCGAATTTTGTGCGTTTGCTACAGCCTTAAAACAGAACCAGAAGTTAAAGTCCAACAAGGAGTCTTGCGAGGGAACGTAGCAAGATCCGTAAATGGGTTTAAATATTTCATATTCAAAGGAATACCGTACGCCAAACCTCCTGTCGGAGTTCTGAAGTTCATGGTGATTTTATATTGAGTATTTATTTACTGCCTACTGTGCGACAATAACCTCGAATCAATCGTAAATCTATATTGAGTGTACACCTGTGATCTCTTATTTGTAGCCCCCTCAGCCACCCGACTCCTGGAATGGTACCAAATTCGCACAAGAAGACGGTAACATATGCGTGCAGCGTGCGCCAATGGCTGATTATTTGACTGGTGATGAAGATTGCTTGTATCTTAATATCTACACACCTAAACTGCCTTCTAAAAATAATGACAAAAAATACCCAGTCATGGTTTGGATACATGGCGGGAGTTTTAACACAGTAAGAATTCTTCTTGAATTTCATTACTATTTTATCCTATAACAGGTTAAATATCTTTTCGAGGAAAATTCAAAATTAATTATGCAAAAGAGCAGTTTTATATGCTATTATTGAAATCGGAGAGTTGAAAATACTTTTTTAATAAATTGCAATATTAAAAGACTTCAAACATTAATAAAAGTATATGAAAACTGCAATCTTTTTTCCTAGTTAATGTACTATTCTTATATTATATGAGTAATGCACTAAATCTTTTAAGAGCTTATCTACTATATATATATTTATATAAATTATATATATATATATATATATATATATGTGTGTGTATATATATTAGGGTGGTCCTTAATATGAACATTTTCGAATTTTCTTGCTCCCAATGGCTCAAACGATTCCAAATTGATAAAAAACAATTCTCAGAAAGTTTTAGCTTTTAATATTGTCTTTTGGATAGTGCGCAATTCAATCAGTTTTGTATTGAAATAGCATGGAAAATTTTTCAAAAATTTTAAAAATGTTTTTTAGATATAATTTAACGAACAAATGAATGAGTTTTATTCAAAATTCGACGCTCTACAAAACAAATTATAAAAAAACTGTTTTGCAGAGCGTCGAATTTTCAATAAAAAATGACACGAATTTTCACATTTAATTCATTAGTCGCTTAGTTATACCTAAAAAAAAAATTTTTAATTTTCAAAAAAATTTCCATGCTATTACCATACGAAGTTTGATTAAATTGCGCACTATTTAAAAGTTAATATCAAGAGCTAAAACTTTTAGAGAATTTGGAATCATTTCAGAGAATCAATTTGGGAGGCCGCATATGAATATAAATAGAGTATAAACTTACACCAAATTAACATTTTTTTGTTAATGTTAATTTAGTGTAATATTTTTCTCTCTGTTCCGACTATTCTCCGAAACGGCCGATTTTGACGATTTTTTTACTGGCAGGTTTTTGATGGGGGGGTATCTTAGGATACATTTATTAACTTCCCGCAGGGTAAGTTATAGTAATGGCAAAAAAAATTAAAATATTTATATATCTTTACGTTTCAGAGGTTTCTGAACATTTTGGCATACCTTAGTAAAAATGGATGTATGTGTGTGTGTGCGGATACAAATTTTCGTCGACAAAAAAAATACACTTCAATTCACAACCGATTTCAATTATTCAAAAAACATTCGATTGCTGTTGATGAGGAGACGTGCTGATTAGTTTTTGGCATATGCAGGTCTAGCAGTTTCAAAGATACGGGGCAAAAAGTGCCACAAACGGTAACTCAGTTTTTAAGAGAATGGAGTGTCCGATTTTAATATTTTAAAAAATATTTTACTTGTATTGACAAGATGAACAACTGACCAAATTTCATTAAAGCAGGTCTAAAGCAGGAAAAAAGTAAAAAAATGCCATTTGGCGTTCAAAAATGATCATTAGACATATGCGCATAAAATTATCAGATATTTTATAAAGCTTTTAACAATAAGTATAAATTTTCTTTACATTTCTATGGGTTCCGCACCAATGTTTATCCATTAGACGGCGGCGCGGCACTTACGAGCTTCGATATTTCGTCTCTATGCAGTTAAAGCAGTACGATTGCTTTAAAGAAAAGTTCAGAACTTCCAGATAAAGAAAACATTTTTTTTTTCAAAAAGTCTTTTTCCAAAAAAAATTTTTTTTTTCAAAAATTTATAGTTTCTCAAAAATCTCATTTTTTCAAAGTAAAATTTTTTCACAAATATTAATCTTTTTAAAAAAATGATTTTTGGTACGGAAAGTTCCAGCAACTTGCCTTAAGGCAAGATGACATGCGCCTCACTAGTTTTATAAATAACATCTTAAGTTTTCTCATCTCCTCCTAGCTGTACTCCTGATTTCTTCCGAGTGAAATTTAAAGAAAAAGTGTATATTTCATTTAGAATTTTTTGTTTTTGCATTTTACTTTATCTTATTTTAATTCAAGAAAATTTTAGATATTCTTATCTCTGATAAATATTATCTTATCTTAATTCAAAATAAAAATCTAAAAATAAATATTTTTTAACTTAAGTAAAAATTTTGAATAATAATGAATGAAGTGCATTTTTTTTGTTGAATTTTATTTTCAATCAGAATACATGACAATTCTATGAACCATTTGGCTTATGTCATTCACTCGCACACATACACACACTCTTTCAAAAACACATATAAATTAATCTGATAAAAATAATATTTTTAGAGAATTACTTCAATAAGTGATTTTGCTATTCTGTTCATATAAGGTTGTGGTAGTTCTAAGGTTCCTCCATATTATCTTTGGGCAGCTTCTTCTTCAGTCTTCTTGAAGTTGGTGTCTCAAGAAGCTGAGTGACTATATAATTTGAATGATGTTCTACTACGATTGTAGTCTCAAGATTTCTAATTTGTTATTTATTTTTATTTATTAAATGTAGTGCTAATATAGATAAATTCCTCGTATTTTAATATGCTTTAATCTATGCGAAAGAAGATTCCAAAAAACTTTTTAATTTCGGTATGTGGGGGGATGAATTCTGCCTTATTTTTAGACGACAATTTAATTATTTTAAAGGGTTCAGGAACAAGTTCAGAGTATACACCAGAATTTTTAGTTGCTGAAAATGTATTGGTGGTAACTATAAACTATCGCTTGGGATTGTGGGGCTTTCTAAATGCACCCGCTATCGGCATACCGGGCAACGCTGGTTTGAAAGATCAGGTATTTGCATAACAATATTAGAATGTAATATGAATTATTTATAAATAATTTTCTGTCACAGTTACAAGCCCTGAGTTGGATTCAGCAAAACATAGCAAAATTTTCTGGAGATCATCAGCAAGTAACACTGTTTGGTTGGAGTGCCGGTGCCGCTGCAATTCATTTGCATATGCTATTTCCTGAACCAGTTTCAAAAGGATTATTCCACAGGGTAATACTACAAAGTGGAACTGCTATAAACCCTTGGACTATGAATGTACATCCAGAGTTGTGGTCGAATTGTCTACTGAAGAACTTAGGCTTATCGAATAATAGATCGTCAACTCTACGCGATTTACAAAATACACCGAGGTACAAATTATTTAAGCGTCAGCATTGTCCAGAACTAGATGAAAAATATTCATATGGGATTTATCCATTTGCCTATCTTCCGAGCCCTGAGCGAATAAGTCGCACGAATAAAAAACCGACACATTTCAATCTCGTGGTTTTCGGGTTAATGAGTCTCCAAAAGCAAATACCTATGATGATTGGCTACACTAGCAAGGAAGGAAATTTATATCAAATGCCAGAAGGTGATGATTTGCTCGAAGTTACTGATAAAACGGAACTAAAAAATAATATTAAACTAGAATGTCTCGCATATTATATGGAATCAAGTAATTATAATTATACAGATATTGTTGAAAAAATTTATAACAGATATTACGGAAAGGAAACTGATCCAAAAAAGCTCTTCGAAATTTCAATCAACTTAACTACTGATTGTTCAATGCTTTTTGGAATAGAAAATACGGTCAGATTTTATACCAAATACAGAAAAAATCATGGCTCTATAAAAGGCAATATATACTACTATAGATTTTCATTTGATGGAAGTTTTGGTAACTATTTTCTTTACTTTATTTATAAATAGAGTACTATGTATGAATTGATACACAGATTATTGTAAAATATTGGAATTCTTTAACAAGAATTCAAAATTTAATTGGTAGGAATGGCTAAAAATGAATATGGCTTAACACACATAGAAGGTGCATCTCACGGTGATGATCTTGGCTACTTATTTCACTGGAAAAATCCGCCGCAAGATTTACATTCTAATTCTACTTTACGAGAAAGGAAATTGATGCGAACTATGATAAAGATGTGGACCAATTTTGCAAAAACAGGGTATGATTATTTGCAAAATGTTACCAGATTTAGATTTTGCTCTTTTTAATATATTGAAAATATTTATTTAAATTTAATTTTTGTATTATAGTTTTATAGATTTTCTTTTCTTAGGAGAAAAATTACGTTACAAAAGTAGATGAGTATTTTAACTCTTTCCGCTCGGTTGTCCCTCTGATGGGACAACGTAAGTCTAGCATTTCACTCGGCTTCTCTATTCAAAATTTACTATTTTTCAAAGTATTTTTTTGACCTTTCTTATTATATAATCTCTTTTTTTCTAAGTACGGTAAAACCATCGTGCAATTCTTGAAGTAAAATATTAATCAAAGAAACAGATCCATATAAAAAAGATATATTACACTATTCTCTGGACTGATAAACTACTGGGACGCTAATTAATTATAACGACGATGGAATCGACTCGGAAGCATTTGGAAATTGATTTAAAATTTAACTGAAATTTATATGTTCTTCAATGTTCACAAATTCATATATATTGCATAAAATACTTGCACAATAATATCAAGTTTTTAGCAGACACGTTTTCGTCAGAATGCGACGCCGAGTATCTGGTATATAAAGTACGAATCAGTACCGAGCGGAAAGGATGTATGTTTTTAATATTGAAAAGGCCGCATATGAATAGAGTATAAACTTACACCAAATTAACATTTTTTGTTAATGTTAATTTGGTGTAATATTTTTCTCCCTGTTATTATACCATGAAACTAATATTTATTTTTTATGAATCTCGCTCCTAGGAATCCGACACCTGAAGTAAACAGAGACGTACCTATCAAATGGCTTCCAGCGACTGAACAAAAAATATATATGCTGGATATTAATAATGAATTGAAAATGTTGAGAAATGTAAACAATGATATACACAACTTTTATGCAAATTTCTCTTTAAATAGACTGTGATCACCCTGTGATATTTGGTTTTTGTTATAATAATAATTTTATACTTAAAATTCACAATTGTGCATTCCATTTTGAATACATAATCATTAAATACATATAATTATTGTGATGGAAATTATTATTATTGACTTTCCGTAGGATAAGTTCTAGAAATTTTTGAATTTTTTATCGTTTCAAGATTTCCTGGCATGCGTGCATTTTGGCATACCTTAGAAAAAACATAGGTATATGTGCATGAATAAAAAATGTATATGTGTATGTGTGTGTATTTTGTGTGGATACAATTTTTCGTTCACGATTTCGGGTGCACTGATCAACCGATTCAAATTATTCAAAAAAAATCACATTCACATTCGATTCCTACTGCTGAGAAGACGTGCTAATTTTGTTTTTGGCAAAGACAAGCCCGAGATGCGAAGCAAAAAGTGCAAAAAACGGCAGTTTTTGCGAGAACGAGGCATCCGATTAAATTGATTCAGAATACATTCGATTTACCTTGATGGCGAAACGTGCTCGTTAATTAGTTCAGATAAATAAACATAATGGGTTAGTTTTTGTTTAAGACAGGTGCAGCGGTTTGAGAGATACAGAACAAAAATGCCAAAAATTACAGTTCTTGAGAAAGCAGAGCATTCAATTTGAATTATTCGAGAAATATTTTACTAGTTGGCGGAATGAAGAAATGATTAAATTTTTAGAAATGCAGGTCCCAGCGGTTTGGAGACCAGAAAAAGAAGTTTTAAAAAATGCTTTTTGGGGTCAAAAATAATAATTATAGACTTATTTACATTATATCGTCAGATATCTTATGGAAAATGTTAATATAATAAGTGAATTTTTTTCTATTTCTATGGGGTTTTATAATATTTATTAAATATGTTTAAAACATTAGTTACTTTAACTATGGTAACTAGTGGTGCATGGTATCGTGCTTCAAGGCAAATTGCTGGAACTTTCTGTACTGTAGTCTGGAATTTTTAAATGCTTTAATTTTTTTAAAAGTTTAATTTTTTTTAAAGCAATAGCGTTGCCTAGCTGGTTTAGAAACGGAATATTAAAGCGCGTTACGCCACGTTGCAGTCTAACGGTTAATTATTACAAATTTTGGCACAAAACCCATACAAATTTAAACAAAACTTGTAATTATTATTAAAATCTCTATAAAATATCTGATAATTTATAAGTCTAATTATCGCCAAATTTTTTCAACTTCTTTTTATTGGATTTCCGAAACTGCTCGACCTTTCTTCCCAAAAATTTAACTAATTCTTCATTATACAATACAAGTGATATGTTTTTTGAATCATTCAAATCGGACTCTCAGTTCTCTCAAAATCGTTTTTTTTTTTGTTACTTTTTATCCCGTATCTTTGACACGGTTAGACTTCCTTTTGCCGTAAAGTAATCGACACGTCATATATAATACGAAACAACATATATAATAATGCAAAAATTGAAATTCAAGTTTTGAGAAAACCGAAAGTCCGATTTGAAAGATTCAAAACACATTTCACTTATATTGATGGAATGAAGAATTGATTAATTTTTTGGGAAGGCTGATACAGCAGGTTTCGTTGATCTAAAGAAAAGTAAAAGAATGCAATTTGACGGCAAAAAATGATCATCAGACATATGCAAATCAGGTTATTAGATATTTTACAGAAATTTTAATAATAAGTACAAATTTTCTTTACATTTCTTTGGGTTCCGTACCAAAATTTATAATGTTTAAAATTTAAACAAATGTTTTCGACATTTCCGACAGTACATGGATCAATCCACCTATTTTTTTTTCTTTTATTTTTTTATTATTTTTCTTTTTATTATTATTTTTTTAAACAGCAATCAGAACCTTACATCCTATGAGCTGTTGGGCTGAAACTTCTCCTTACTTCGTATTTTTTTAGATGATAACCCAATGGTTAATCCATCATCCATATTTGATGATTTTGTTATTAGAATTAATCTAATAGGGCTGACTTTTTATTGGTGCAGCAATGCCGGACAAGGGCTATTTTCACTTGGAAACATATTACTATCTATATTCCTGACAACAGACTGCTCGAAGTGGGTATCGAACCCGAGACCTCTGATTCAGGTCCCGTCGCTCTTAACCGCTTACCTACGGGCGAGCCCATCCACCTAAATGAGTTTCAAAATTTTCAAAAAATTCTATAATTTAGAAATAGCCGAATTTTTTCAATAAAAATCAAAATTGAAATTCTCAAACAAACCGAATTTTTTCAAAGTTTTAAAGTTTTCAAAAATTCCTCTAATTTATCTTAAAACACGATGTCCATGCACATGCTATTCACCACTCGTTAAACTTGCATTTAGCATGGTGTTATAAACAAAACAAAACTAGTGGTGTATGGCATCGTAAGGCAAATTGCTGGAACTTTTCCGTACCGTAACGAAATGTTCGAGAACAGAATTAAAATTAAAATCAGAATTACATTGGATATACAAAGAAAATTTTTTTTTGAAAAAAAAAATTGAAATGGAATTTTTTTTCCCCAAAAACAAGCAAAAAGTTTTTTGTATCATTCAAATCGGACGCTTAGTCTCTCTGCCATTTTTTGCACATGTACACTCATTTGCCAAGAATTAATCACCTCTCGCCCTGTCATTATACAAATTGAATGTTTTTAGATCAGTCAAATCGGATACTCCGTTCTCTCAAAAACTCGATTTGTATTTTCTGCACTCTGCTCCGTATCTCCGTAACGGCTGGACCTGCCTTAACCAAAAAATAATCAGCACATCTCCCTATCGATAGGAATCGAATGATATTCGAACCATTCAAATCGGTTAATCGTGCGCAGTTTGACATACATCAACAAACACCCCGACTACAAATACCAAGCAATATAAGACATCCAATAGATTATTTTACTTTATATTTTACAAATGAATTATTAGACAATATGATAGAAAAAACAAACCATTATGGCAGCACAAAAATGAACAAATATACTGACTAATCAGTGGCATATTCTAAATGCGAGAGAAAGAATAAAAGGGATTATATTGTCTGTTCTGACAGAAAAGCACCGTAACCGACAGTAATTATTTTATTGTAAAACATGTCAAAATCAACCAGCTATGCATTTTGGAAATTGTTCTGAACGTCACTATTCTTTATAAAATGATCAAAAATAAATTAGCTGTAAGTGGAATTCTGTCTTAAGGCAACTAGAGCATTGTGCCTTAAGGCAAATTGCTGGAACTTTCCGTACCAAAAATTATTATTTTTTTTAAAAACTATTAACATTTTTGAAAAAAAATTACTTCGAAAAAATAAGATTTTTGAGAAACTATAAATTTGACAAAAAATTACTTTTTTTTGAAAAAAAAAATTATTTAAAAATTTTTTTTTTAAATCCTTTTTTTGAAAAAAAATGTTTTTTTTATTAACTTCCCGTAGGGCAAGTTATAGTAATCGCAAAAAAATCGAAAATGAAAATTTTTATATATCTTTACGTTTCAGAGGTTTCTGAACATTTTGGCATACCTTAGAAAAAATGGATGTATGTGTGTGTGTGTGTATGTGTGTGTGTATGTGTGTGTGTATGTATGTACGTGTGTGTATGTATGTGCGGATACAAATTTTCGTCGACGATTTCGGGAACACGGATGAACCGATTTGAATAATTCAAAAAACATTCGATTCGTATTGATAAGGAGACGTGCTGATTAGTTTTTGGCGAAGGCAGGTCTAGCCGTTCCGAAGATACGGGGCAAAAAGTGCCAAAAACGGTACCTTCGTTTTTAAGAGAACGGAGCGTCCGATTTGAATAATTCAAAAAACATTTTACTTGTATTGACAAGATGTATAATTGATCAAATTTTCATGGAGGCAGGTCTAGCGGTTTCGGAGATCTAATGAAAAAAGTAAATAAAAATGCCATTGGGCGGTTAAAAATGATCATTAGACATATGAACATCAAATTATCAGATATTTTATAGAGATTTTAACAATAAGTATATTTTTTTTTTACATTTCTATGGGTTCCGTACCAATGCTTATGCGTTAGACGGCGGCGCGGCACTTGCGAGCTTTGACATTTCGTCTCTATGCAGTTCAAGCAGTGCGATTGCTTTGAAAAAAAGTTCAAAATTTCCAAAATATGTCAAAATGAAGAAAACATTTTTTTTAAAAAAATTTTTTTGTTTTCAAAAAAAATTTTTTTTCTCAAAAAAAAAATTTTTTTTTTCAAATAAATTTTTTTTTTTCAAAAAAAAGTAATTTTTTGTCAATTTTATAGTTTCTCAAAAATCTATTTTTTTTAAGTAAAATTTTTTCAAAAATGTTAATCGTTAAAAAAATAATAATTTTTGGTACGGGAAGTTCCAGCAATTTGCCTTAAGGCACGATGCCCTAATTGCCTTAAGACAGAATTCCACTTACAGCTAGTTTTGACATATGTTGGAAGATCTGAACTTTTTTTCAAAGCAATCGTACTGCTTTAAATGCATAGAGACAAAATATAAAGCGCGTAAGCGCCGCGTCGCTGTCTAACGGGTAAACATTGGTATGGAACCCATAGGAATGTAAACAAAATTTATACTTATTGTTAAAATCTCTATAAAATATCTGATAATTTGATGTGCATATGTCTAATGATCATTTTTGACCGCCAAATGGCATTTTATTTTACTTTTTTCGTTAGATCTCCGAAACCGCTTAACCTGCCCTTATAAAAATTTGATGAAATCTTCATCTTGTCAATACAAGTAAAATGTTTTTTGAATTATTAAAATCGGACCCTCCGTTCTATTAAAAACTGAGGTACCGTTTTTGGCACTTTTTGCCCCATATCTTGGGAACGGCTAGACCTACCTCCGCCAAAAACTAATCAGCACGTCTCCTTATCAATACGGATCGAATGTTTTTTAAATTATTCAAATTGCTTCATCCGTGTTCCCAAAATCGTCGACGAAAATTTGTATCCGCACACACATACATACTACGCACACACACATACACACACACACACACACACACACACATACATCAATTTTTTCTAAGGTATGCCAAAATATTCAGAAACCTCTGAAACATAAAGATATATAAAAATTTTCATTTTCGATTTTTTTGCGATTACTATAACTTACCCTACGGGAAGTTAATTAATATTATAAATGTATGTCCTTCAATGACCACAAATTTTTATCAAACAAAATGCATAACATACCCCATGCAATCAAGTTTACAGCCGGTGCAGTAAATTGTTTTGAAATCGGTACCGTCCCGTAAGTGTTAACTCTTCGGGTCCCTATGTAACGCTCGACGTTTTCGTTATCGAATCGGTTATTAACGACAACGGGTCACGTGGGACGGCGAGTCACGACAAACGGATCATATCAGTTTTATCTATGCATGAATAATAGACCAACGAACGATTTAAGCAAACAGTAACAGTAGCAGTAGAGTAGTAGACATCAGTTTGGTTTCTGTTATGGAACAAGTCACAAAACCATATGTCAAAGCACATTTTTTCTCCAATGTTTTCAACAAATCGGGTGACTTTTCAAAAGTTTTCTAGTTTCAACGGTTGATTGGGTAGCAAGAAAAATACGAACTAAAAGACAAAATAAAACGTTCATATGTTAGCAGTAGATGACCCTGTAGATGACCTAGTATTTTATACTTTTATAATATGTGTTGTTCAGTTGGACTTGAAATTGTATCTATTGTATACAGTGGTGGTTTATTGGTCAAGGATAAAAAAACGAGCTAATGACAAAATTAATTATAACATTTAATGTATTAGTTATTCAGTCATTTTATAAATATGGATATAACCACGAAGTTCATTCAGGACATTTTCTGCTTAGAAAATACAATCTCATTATTTAATGAAAAGTACATCATAGATAAGTCGATATTCAATCATGAGTTACAGTGTAATCTTCAAATGTTTTGTAAAAAAATCACTTATCTGGAAAGGATGTGGTCTAGAGTTTTGGCAGGCGAATTAAGTTATTCTAATTGTTTAGATAATATAAATGAAACATCGTCAAATAAATTAGAGACCAGTAAGTATAAACATAACATACAACAACCTTGGAGTACTAAACATACTATATTTAAGTAGAACTGTAAAAGATGGCTTACTTGTTCCTTGTATAGAATATTATATAAGTGATTACTTATGTGTCTACAGCTGCTTACAAAACACTTATGACAGACAAACTGAATCGGAATAATCTTACAAACACGGCAGATGAATTTCAAAGTTTTCCTTTAAATAAAAACACTATCAACGTTCCAGAATTGGATGAAAATCAGTTAGCATTTCCACAAGCTAAAATTTGTTTTACTGAATTGTCTTCATCTCAAATACAGCAAGAAGAGCAAATTAAAAGCAATGTCACAGTGGAAAATGCAGTTTTGACATCTCATGCACAATCCAAACCTGCTATTAATGGCAGTAAAATTGTTTCTAAGAATAAAGTAAATTTATTTCCAGAAATAATTCCAAAGGATAACTTGATTCAGTAAGTTAACTCGAGTTAACTTTTAGATCTAAATAACTACTTTTAGATCTAAATAACTACTCATTGACAACTTTATAGTTTTATGGTTCATAGAACTACATGTTTCGTTACTATTATGCAAATCTTATACCATCATTATTAACATCATCATTAACATGTTGCAAATTGATTATTTTTGAGATTTGATTTTCACTTTCTAATGATGTTTACTTTCTATTCTAAATAACATAGGTTTTTATACAATTAGACCCAAAGGTCTCAAACATTTTACAATAAAATATAGCAAGTCAGATTTTCTGACAAAACGTTCCATGATAAATAAAACACTTTCAGAAAGTTGAAAAAGGAACACATTTTTGAATATTTTCAAATATATTTTGATGAAAGTGATATATTCTTCCACTCTCTTTTTCTATTTAAATATATATATATATATATATATATATATATATATATATATATGAATGGTAGAGTCTTGGATTTGTGTATATTTTGTAGAGTTTCGAACAAGAATCCAAAAATAATACAAAATAAAAAACAAGAAAAGTTTTTAAAAAAACAATTTCTTTATTTAATTATTTGTTTATTGTCGACGTTTCGGAACTAGGTACGTTCCATCTTCAGGACATCTGTCAAGAAACATGATCTTGATGAGATTTTAGCAAACAATATGTTTAGGAAAAGAAAATAGATTTTTCTTAAATAATGAATTAATTGCAAAAACGTATGTTTCTTGACAGATGTCCTGAAGATGGAACGTACCTAGTTCCGAAACGTCGACAATAAACAAATAATTAAATAAAGAAATTGTTTTTTTAAAAACTTTTCTTGTTTTTTATTTTGTATTATTTTTGGATTCTTGTTCGAAACTCTACAAAATATATATATATATATATATATATATATATATATATATATATATATATATATATTGATTTACAGAATCTGTAACATCTACTACTATTGCCTCCAGTGTTCTACGTTATTACACAAATCAAATTGTACTTCTCATATATCTGGTAAAAAGCATTCGGGAAAACAGCAAATAACTCCTTTATTAAAATCAAGTGATCTATTAATCTGTCTTGTTTGTAACTTGGCTTTTTTAAAAGTAAAACATTCAAAAGTCATATAAAAAAGATGGGTCATACTGACCGGTAAGTATATTTTTATCAGTCATAAAATAGTGTAGAAAAAAATAAATAGACTTATTTTTATAGCAAGTTTCTTCACAAGGATTGTCCAAAGTGCCATATAAAATTATTTGGTTCATTGAAAATCATTAATCAACATGAACATCTTACATCCAAATCTAAACTCGAAATGAATGATATTGTAAAAAAGGGAAATGACTCTGAAAATCAATGGAATTGTTCAGAAAATGAAAGAGATATTATCAAAAGTAATTTAGAAATTAAAAGTGAATTTAAAAGGGAGGGAGTACAGGAAGTTCAGCATAAAAAAATGATTTGAAACAAGATGAAAATAATGATTTAGGTAATGACAGTAAAAATGAAGTTAAATTGAAAACCACAATCAATAATATCCAGCCTAAGAAGAAGTGTAGTTATACTTTAACTGAAATAAATAGTTTATCAATTTATAGCACATCTTCTGTCGCCAATTGTTTGTTGTGTATAGTTCAAATGAGCAAAAATGATAAAAATATTTTAGGACATATAAATGGATCAAGACATAAAAAATATTCAGAGAATAATGAATTCACAAAGCTGCTTAAACCTTTTTTAAATCAAATTACCCAAATAATGGAAAATGACAAAGACAAATGTATTCCACCAAAACATAGATTTTTTATTTCCTTCTACAACAAAAACTGTTTACTGTATATTATGTGATTGTGAAATTTCAAATAAGAAATGTGATATACTTCTTCATTTTAAATCATCTCAACATATTCAAGATCGCAAAAGATGCATAGGAGAAATATAAAGCTCATAGCAAAAAAATACAAATTGAAAAAGTTTTATAAATGCATACAAAATTCATAGACAATATAGAACAGAATTACATGATATAATATTTATTTTTATATACAAACTGTTGGCATAAAACAAATTCGAAGGATTTAACACGTAGTACATTGAAAATATACATATGCATATATCAAGAATTTTTGTTCGATATTGATACATATTTAATTATTTACCAACATGGCATCAGAATAATTATAAATTAATTTATATTGAACAGTTTTGAGAACAAAAAAAATATACAAAGATAAGTACAATAATTAATGTATTTTCTTGTTGTTATATATAATTTGATTATCTAGTGTCATTATATTATTGTAGTCACCTTAGCAAGTTTTTTTGGTTAAATAAATTTATATTATATTTAGACGTATTTTCTATTTAATAATTGAATATATATATATTACGAGAATTGACTTCCGTTTGAATGCTTTAACAAAATAAGAAATATTAGATATTAATTGTTTTGGAAAATAATTCTTGTGTGCTTTAATGATTTTCGCTTTTCTACTCAGTTTATAAATGCGGACACATAAATTTTGGAGCAGCTAAATTATTTTTCGATATACTATGTGTTAAATCCTTTGAATTTCTTTGAATACGCCAACATTTTGTATATAATCATAAAATTCTGCATATATTCGAATAAAAGAGTAATTTTTTTTTTTTAATACGGATAGAAAATGTTGAAAAATATAAATAACAATACCAAAAATCTTTTTTCACTTTCTTTTTAAATTAAATTCTATACATAAATTGCTTTATAATGTAATATGTTACTTCATTTTAAATACATGTAAATATTGTAATGAAATGATTTTATATTGATTGTTTTAAATTAATTTTGGTGGTTACTATCTGGTGAACGTTGAATAATATTAACAAATAATTTGTAATTATCTACCACTACTTCAACCTATTTTGAAAATTGTACAAGAAGCAAAATATATGTATAAAATCTGCTTTTTATATACATATTGCTAACCTACTAGGAACAATTATTTGAATAGATAAATAAGCAAATTATTCCATACTATGATCTAAGCCAGCGATGTCCAACCTAAATTACTCTTAGGGCCAAAATTCGGAATATACAAGGCACTGGGCCTTGTATATTCTATAAATCTGGAAAACTAGTGGTGCACGGCATCGCGCCTTAAGGCAATTTGATGGAACTTCTCGTACCTAGATGCATCAAATTTACAAATTTTGTTATTAACAGCAATATCTTATAATAAACACAACATAAACTAATGCAGAACTGCACATTTTAACATCAAAAAAGAAAAATGTTTGTCTACATTCGTAGTAAGGTGCGTCCACACCTAACCAACGAACACGAACGAACATAAATGAACGTACCAGAACGAACGGCAACAGCATCGTGTGGACGCCACAACGATCACGAACGAACATAAACAAACATGGCGAGCAATGTTCCGCAACTTGTCGGTACATCAAAGGGAATTGTTCGTTCATGTTTGAACTCGTATGTGCAGTACCATAGATAAACAAGTATAATAGATCGCTATGTCTAGCGGTTTGACGTTACCTCGATTGAAATACAATTTTTTAAAAATAGATGGCAGCACATGTATAATATTTAAATTACCCCTGGTTTTACTTCTTAATTTGTACGTATCGTAAGGGTATCGTATACAGCCCCAAAAACCTGAATAATTTTTAATATTGGAAATAAGAACAAATCATACGAAATACAAAATATAATATTTTCAAAGATATTACATATGTTTAAAGAACAATTGAAATTATGTTTATATTAACAATTATAATTACAGTTATGGAATGTTTGAAAATATAATAATTATTATACATAATTATAAAAGTATTATAATTTCACATTATGCTTAAATAATATTTCAAAAACTAAATATATAAGTGAAGAAAATCACAGAAGTATTAAACTAAACTAAGCACAAATAACTGACTAATATTAATTACTTAATGACTAATATTAATATATTAAAATCTTAAAAACTAAGAAGAAAACTACAAGCACAGGAGCACGCAATGAAATTACAAATTTAGAAGGAATGACAAATAATACAAAAATTTAAAGGGTTAAGAAAAAAACAAATAATTTGTTAAAAAGTACAAATACTTCACAAACAAAAAAAGTCCTAAAAAATAAAATATATATATTGATAACAAAATTGAGAGAAATTCAAATTCCTAGGATTAAAACTCATTTACGAGACATTGTTCTTTATTAATTCTGCATGTAATAGTTATTTCGCTATCTAATGAATTAATAGTAAAGTTGCATTTAACAAAACCTTTGAATAGTTTCTGTACGAGTGTTTTATAACATTACATTTAGCCATGTTTCATCATTTCATTTTCATTGAAAACTATCATTGAAATTGCCATAAAAGATCAACAGAGTGTTTACAATGAACAGAATAATGTTTTTATGCACATACAATTGTTTATGAATCAAAAGATAAAAGCAATATTTTTGATTCCCAAGGTCGGTAAACAAATATATCTTGAATTTAAACATTATATTGGGATGTTACACAAGTTTTATTTGAAGAATATTATAACACTAATCTCAATCAAAATACATTAAAATATTATGTATGGTATAGACTCTCTTTATAAGTGTTTACATTTGCTAATGTATATATAATCTTATTAAATATAACAATAAACTTACGTTGATGAACATTTTTTTTTTTTTTTTTTTTTTTTTTAATTTATTTACATATATACATTATTTTCATATCTCGTCAGACGATGTGCCTGGTATGAGAGATTATGACAAACATTTTCATATAATATTTACATTTCATTTGACTATAATATCTATTTCATTAATAAATATCTATATATATATAATATCTTCTTAACATTTAAACCAACTAGCTGAATAACTGTTTTGCAACTTCAACAATATGAGATTCAATCCAATCATATAACAATTCCGAAGATAAGGGTATTCATCAACATCAAAACACAGTATTCTGCTACTAATACTTTTTAAAAGAAATAGCTGAACCTAATGTTTTAAATAGACACTCATAAATACCGCTATACACTTGTATCTCTGAATGCAACTTTCTCAATGTTTGAGGACATGGCAAAATAAATATTTGTCTCCAAAAATAGTAGACCTTTGGAGACTTTTTGTACGACTTATTCCTTAAATTATTGCATTGTTTATGAATCCTTCTTGTCATTACATATTGCATTCCTTGGTTGTCAAAGTACTCCTGCGCTTTGTTAGTGCATTTGCAGCAATTTGCAGGTACCCCCAAGACACCTATTCAATATAATAACATGTTGACATATCTTGATTATATATAATTATTGCTGCAATTATTATTAAAAAATACCTTTGCGGAAACTTGTATTGGAATAGCTAAATATTTTAACCCGCACTTGACACTTTTTGGGTACTATAAAAACACTTTGCCATATTAATTTCACAAATGCTCACTTAAACAAAATTAATTAAGTAGAACAACACGAGTTCAAAAAGTTAGGTTATTCCTACAGCCATAC